CCGCTATTGAATCTCCCCGGCTCTTATCTCATTATTTCAATAAATTACTGCTCGGCTGGCGCTACAGTCGGCTCAAAAGTCAGTGGCGTAAATATGACGGCACCTTGTTACCGTAACCAGGTATAATTTTCTCTCTTTCACACGAACGACTGATGCCTGTTCTTACCAGTCGCATATAGTAAATGTTTATTACAATATGGAATAAATGTTCTTTTTTTGTGAAACAGCGAATAGCAGCCTTCGAACCAGGAAGTATGAACACATGGACCGAACTCACCCACACCATTAATAGAAGAAAACTCGAATAGTTTGGCTACATGGTGACAAATACGTCTAAGGAAGTGGTGCAATAAAACATCGGTGGAACTATTTAGATCTGCGGTTTCCAAGATGAACATTGCAATTTTGGGTGGCAACTTCCCAAAACACTTGACGAGATCTAAATTGACGAACTGCCAGCGGGCATGTAAATTAGTTGGATACTTGTTATTCGTTGAAGACGAGCTTTCAAATTGTCACGCATGCGCATATTAAACAGCCCGTCTGACATTTCAAAAATTCTTATTAGGCATAGGCAGGTTCCCTATGTATCTAGTAGCTATATAGTTTCGCCATAGCGCTATCTGCAACTAATATGAGAAAGTTTTGTCCCCAACTATTTAAATAATCTAAAGGGGCGGGGTCACAGTAACCAGAGGTGTTCAAGTCCAAGTGGAAGAAAAAAAACTGTGACACGTATTATACAGATGTTAAAAACTATGTATTGATGATATTTTCAAAGTGGCGAAGATCGGCATATCTCTATAGGAAACATTCGACGCTAAAATAATTAGAGAAACTTTCACAATTTTACCTAATACATTAGTTACCTCAGCAAATAACGCTAAAGCCTTGCTTTAAAGGAAGACGTTTTACAAACTTTTTCAGCTATATACGAGAACTCACGGTGAGTGTGTGATATTCTGGGCGTAGGAATGAATATCCAATATAGAGTTGTCAAATCTGTCAAATAGTTTTCTACTGCTTTTCTGCAAACAATAGTGCATCAAAGGCTTTCCAGAATTAAAATATATTTTAATTCTGTAGCCAAGCAAAATTAGTGCTGTCCCTGTCGGCGACTTTGATTATATCACCCAGTACTTTTAATAAAACTCAAGCTGTACTTGAGCCAGATTGAAATCCAGATTTAAATCCAAGAAATAAATTGACTATACATTATTTTTTGAAAAACCTGAGATAAGACACACACAAAAAACTTATTGACGTTGACGTCTGTCAATTCTGGCAGCCATGTCATACTTCATTCAATTAATGTTTTCGTACAGTTTTGCGAAAATATAACCAAAAACAAAAATCAAAACAAGAAATATAATAGGCTAAACATTTAAAAAGATCTTCAGATACTCGCTTATTAAGCTCTCTGCACGAGTACCAAAATAAAATTGTGACTGAAATGACGTTCATCAAACTTGAAGATGGTTGCATTGTTTTTGCCCGAGGTTCATGTCTGCGTTGAACTTTTTCTGTAGATGTTGTTTTAAAAAATAATTCGTTTGGTATAGTTCGTCAACTATCCAAATGATAGTTTTAGGTCTAAATTTGTCCTTTAAGTTATCGGTTGTTCCAGTAGAACTAATTAAAATTACGTGTTTTGCTTTCAATAATCCTTTACCTTCTACAAAACTCCAACTTTCACAGTTTAAATACCATACAAATGAATTTTATCGCAAGAGGTTACTTTTGCGTCATTTTTTAAGAAATTACACATCACAATTATAACAGAAAAAGTAAGAATATAATATCTTTATTATTCCACATATTTATAATACAATCAGTGTTTTATGGATTTCGTCAAGTAGGTCAAAGTTTGGTACACAATATAGATCCGGCAAGTGAGGCAGAAAACTACATTAAAAATTTATATAATTAAAATATGATAGAGCACAAGAATACAGTGATAACAACCATTCTAAATTCTAAATTATAAAAACAATTTTTTGGAGAATATAATTTAGTTTGGATTTAAAAATTTTTATATTACTACTGCTTTTTAGCTCTGGGAACATCGGTGTTCGTAAAATATTTTTTTGAAAGGTCTAGTCCATTTTGTTTAATTTAATTTAATTTGTTACGTGTATTATAGTCGTGAAAATCTCCGATTTTTTGTACACTTTTGTTTTTATACATCCATAAACCAAACTTCCAAGGCAATATTTTAAACTCTTTCTTTTGGAAGATGAAAGCAGATATTGCATCACCGAAATTTAACCAAAAGAGAATAACATAGGATAATCTCGAATGGATATGAGCATAGTACAAATTTATCATGCATTTCCGATTCAAAACAGTTTTTAATTTTTTTTATTAGGAAACAATAAGTCTGCAGATTTGAAGGAAGTAATTCAAATTAAGGTTCCCAAAATAGGATTTCGTCAAGTTCTAGTGCTAAAAATTTAGCATGCTATTTCACCGGCCTCCTCGGCCGAGTGGACATTCACATAAAAGTTTTTTTGTTTCGTGGGCATTTGTTTTTGAACATTCAAAAAGAGTTCGTTGGTGTTAAACCAACTATTTAGCAATGTGCTGAATTAATTATTTCTTCAAGAGTTTGATATTAAACTTGACCAGTCGTCAAAGAACTCTAATAAAACCAAACTAGGCAGGTGAGCAGAAAGTTCATTGATAAAAATGATATCTGTACCTTACAGTACGCCTCTATCGACCGATTGGACTTGAGATTCTTTAATTTGACACAGGTTGCCCTTTTCTTGCATTATTTCAACATATTGCCTACGATTGGTTAAGCACGATCAAAACCAGTTCCGAGCTATTCCACGAATATCGTATTCAAAAAATTTTCGTGGTTCATACAGTCAGTCCAACGACCTTTAAGATCCCAAAATATCCCTGCAGGGTCCTCTCCAGATTCAATATGGTTGATAGCGTCCTCCAGAAATGAATGAATCGCTGTTTGGGTTTGGGTATCTGTTCTGAAGCCGATTTGACGAGTTTATTGTCGCTTATACAGGTAGAATGAGCTGGTCAAAGGTTCATGTAAATATTGAGATTGCAAATAAAACGGACACGTGTGTTTACTTTTCGCAGCTCCACCATCTTAGAATAAATTCGGGGATAATCAACTTTATAAAATCTATTGTTTGGGTTGTGTGTCACATCGTTGATATATTACAGCATAACTTTCCCAGTCTGGTTCTCAAATTTATACTCCTGCCAGCGTCCATTTACAGTACTCGGAGCATATCGGGTAACATAAACACACATTGTGTTTAACACAGGCATAGAAATTACCTTCGGGATTTGCTACGCGAAACGTTCGCTTTAAGATGCTAAACGATAATCAACCGAAACAAGGCTCGACGTTAGTGCACATGTTTGTTCTCCACTTATTTGTGGCGGAGAGGTCCGTATATCCGACAAACAACATTGTTTATCCCGAACACCTGCGTTTTGTTCCGAGTGACCGCAATACCTCTTTATATTTCCTTGTTATTGTTTGCCGAATTTCAACCCGTGCTTTAGTAGCGCAAATAATCAGAAAAGCGTGCTCAGAAACCGCAATGAGATTGCAATAAGTCAAAAAATCTCAGGAATGCAGCTCCCAACTAACATTTTTCCCAGCTTAAGGTTTCATTATAGGGTAGCGGATATTTGCAAGGGATCAATAAGAAACCTCAGCTTTTAGAACAGTGTTCATAGTTGAAATTGTTGCTGTTATAAGTTTTGTAACACGTCTAATAAATACCAACACATTTTAAGTTTTAAAAGATTGCATCTAAAATGTTTCTGTTTCTTTATCTATACAGGCTTTGTTATTGGTTATATTTCAGATTTTTTTAAAACGTTTTATAAGGTTCTTAAATACCTTACCATAAAATTTTTGCTTATGGAACGACCGACTTCTTTAGTTTGCGCAATTTTGCAAGGTGTTTTAATTGTATACTTTATATTTATAAAAACTCAGCACGCTTCATTCAAAAACAAATAAATTAAGAATAACTGAATAGTGAGGCTATGATTGCAAAATTAACATCGTTTCCAAATGATTTGCAAGTTTAAGTTTTATAGCGATTACGCAAGTTTTTATAAATTTATAAATGGAAATAATAAAACTATAAGATTCCAAGATGATATTAGGGTTTATTGCAGTTGCTATTAACGTTTCTATTCTATTACGTTTTTTGAAAATGATATAAAAACCTGGATAGTTGTCAGTCGCAAAGGCCATTCCAAAACTGGCGTGGATTAAAATTTTGAAAACATAACATTTTAATAAAATATGCAATGCCGCATGTATTTACGTTTTGACGAACTGTGTAAGTGAAGTCTGTGTGGCAATTCCTCATAACTATCAATTGTCCGTTATTGTAGACAATAATTGGAAAAATTGGAATTCTGGGACTAGCGAAATCTGTAACCAATGTATCACAGACCACCTTGTTTCCAAGCCAGCGCAAGCTAGATCAGTGGCGGGTGGTACATTTGTAACTTGTAAATTATATTTTGCCTGCCCATTGTTCTAACCTATCTAAAACATAAGGGAAGTTCTCATAAAATTTCATACAGAGCGGGTATCTGTTATCAAATCGTGCATCTAAAGATCGTGATATCACGTGTTCTGCAATACGTGTGTGCCTGCGCTGCAATAAAAATAAAAATGGATGACTATCTAGGGCGAGTGTTCTCGTCTGTCAAACAGAAAACAAAAAAAATCTAAAGCAAATTTGTACAGACTCTGTAAAACCCGTTTATAATTCATAAAATAGTAAAATTAGTAAAAGTTCAAAAAGTGTTCAACTAATACAAAGTAACTATTAATATCACTTAGTGCTTATTCAATCGGGCACTTTTGAAATGGCCCACCGTGTATATAGATCCATGAATAATAAAAGAAATTGTAAACGATCGTCAAATATCGCTACTCGTTTGAGATTGTGCATTTAGAACCTATAGGAGAACAAAACCATTTTTGTAAAGCTCACCTTTTTCAGATCGACCGTTACAGTGACGTATTCATATTCGGGTCCGTAAAATAGAGCAGGACTCTGCCACCATCGGTTCGATCCGTCGATCGCGAAGTTGATTGGATGTCGTTTGCCCAGGTCCGGACTAAAATCATCGCAAATCCCGCATCGAGTTTTGCCGGTGTCGGATAATCGGCAAAACTCTTCTCTGCCGCTGATGCCGCAGGTGGCGTTAGCTGAGATGACGGCTTTGGTGGCCAAATTAAAAACGGAAGGCCACAAACCGGTGTTTGATGCTGTGTTTCTTCGCACGTTGTTGCCGATTCCTCGGTTGTTTTTTAGGAACTTCAAGGCTGAAAGAAAAAGAGGATTGGTTAGTTTTCATTAAATTATATGGCGGAAGCTTCGGAATAAACATTTCGTGCTCGACACATCGAATCTTACACTGCTCCGTAAATATTGTTTTATAAGTAGATATACAATTATACATTGTGATCTTCAAAATAACTTCTTTATAGAGCCACGCAGCACTGGAGGCCATTCTTGCAATGCTCATAGCAGTACTGGAACTTCGATATTGGAATAGAATAAAGACTCAAGTGAAGCAACGGGTCAGATGACTGAAGAGCCACAGGAATGTTTTGTCTGGTCAAAAACTTGTTTATTGAAATTTCTGTGTGATAAAGAGCATTATGGTGGTGCAACACCCAGTTGTTCATAATGCTTGGTCTTTTGCAAATGACCATTTTCCAAAGATTTTCAAGAATCTTCCGGTAAAAGTGTTCGTTGGTCGTTTGGCGGAAACAAGTAGGCCTTTATTTGATCTTCGACTTTCTCATCGTTGCTTTTATGGATCTAGCTGACAGGTTGAAGCGTACCCCACGATGCTGTGTCGCTTTGTTTCTGAGTCGTGCTCAAACGGCCAAAACTCGTCACCCGTAATGACAGAATATGACAGTCAAAAAGTTAAGGCACCTGATGCCCTTTTAGGATTACAAAAAGTTTTTTTGAAACATTTTCGAGCTGATGTTTCTCATCTTCGATTCAATGGTTGAAAATCGCGGATTCTGTCGACAGTTCATCTTCCTTCTGAAAATGCCTTAAACCACTGAAGAACCAGGGGTCTGGACAAACCCCTATCTTAGTAGGAGGACTGCTCAAATTCAGCAAGAGTTTCTGTTGCATTGTGTCCAATTCTATAGTAAAACCGTTGATGTTACACATTTTCAGAATACAAACACAACATGTTCCCCTTCCGCCCTCCAAGCGCAGCATTAACAGTGTTGCCAGAATGCCATGTTGCTAATTATCATTATTTAATTTACAGACCTCGCGTATGATGCCCACGTGGAACTACTTTAGCCTATTATTAGAATTCTACCTATGACTAAACTGAAAATTCGCCGTTAAAAATTGTTTTAAAATATTTTAATATGGCGCCACGTCCAGTGTTACTTATTTATTGTATATTCTTTTTGCATTGAATCTTACAACATTAATGTTTAACATTGACATTTCTGTTGAAATGTATTTTGCTTTGGTGCACCGATGAAAATAGTTTAGAACCATAATACCAACATACAGCAAATGGGAAGAATATTTTGCAGAAGCAAAAAATACTATTTTCGAGAAAGTAAGTAATTAAAGATACCAAAAATGTCACCGAGATCCAGAGATAATGGACCTTGGTTTGTACCGTAGAAAGATTAATGAAATGTTTGGTTTCTTCTAGAATTCACTATTTCAGTATGGACAATCTAATGGTTTAAAGAATAGAAGAAATATGTACATTTATTTCGAAGTGTTGAAAGGTCAACGGAAAAATTAAAAAATGTTTCAGAAACTTATAACAACCCCCAAGCAAAATGTCTGTTGTTTACAATTAATGGCGAAAAACAAAAACGTTCCCGGTCGAATTACATTTCCGTTAACTTTTGATTTATCTCTCCGGTCTTAATTTAAAACGCTGTACGACACCCGCCCCCCGAGTACCCCATTGTTATTTTTTGCTTCCACAGGCCAAAGCCAAGGACCACTAGACTCTAACACCGGGGGGTATCCGAGCACAAAAGGGCGGGCTCGACCAACCCTGGGGGTAACATTGTCCGCAACTTCAGACCACCCTTGTTCTACACAAAACGCGCGTCAGGCAACCCCTTCAACGGGGACACGTTTTGGGGAAAATTCACTTGTCGATGTATCCAGTGACGTACGACGAATTTTGGTTTGTTTGCAAAGCGACATAGATCCAGGGTTTGGTTAGAAATTAATTCCCACATAACTGTGGCTATTGGTGTCTTTAATTTTAGATTTAAAGATGTTTCATTTTTAATAATGCCTCTTTAAATATAGATAAATATTTATCCACCTAAAAAATGATAGGTAGGGGCATGTACGTATAATAAATTGGAGCTACATTAAAAAAAAATCGCCATTATTATATGTAAAAAAAATCACATTGTTAGGACACTCTTTGATATTGTAATTTGTAATAAAGTATATATAATGTTTTATATTGGAAGAACAGTGTGCATCTCTAACTTGGAATAAACTCGGTAAATCAAACAAAATTTATTTTTTGAAAATATAGCTTCAATTTTAAAAGAAAAAACTTCACTGCATTGCAGCTTAGTTGGTTCGAACCTATATCAAACTCCTAACAACCTAACAAAACGTTGACCATTCTTTCATTAATTCTGTGGTGTACATAAATGGATAACTTCATTCTGTGTTACCCATAGCCATTTATTATTAGACTAGTACCCTGTTCCGTTAAATATACATTGAATGCGATGCTACACTTCTTACTTGTGTTTGTAAAAATGACAAACAACAGCTTTTAAAAAATTTGTGCAAAAATTTAATGGACTTGAATTAGATATCTTCATTCTTCTAATTATACCACGTTTGTCATATATCTTTTGACATGACAACGAATAAAAAGTTTTACACGGTATGTAAAATGTTTTCCTACATCAAAAAGCAAATGTTAATTACTAATCGATGCGTCCAAGCATATTTTCGAAAAAGAAACTTTGATGTACTTAATTAATTGCATGCTAGAAATTCGCACTGTATATTGTAGCTTCTTAAGTAACATAAGTGTGACTTTTGATGAGAAGTTAATATTTCAATTTCCCATCAGTACCGTCACACTGTATCCTCCTTTCTGTGATTTGGAGCCCTAAGTATAACGTACATATCAATAGAATTGAAAAGTTATATAGGAAATTTTAGCTAATATCTTTTGACTATTAGCTCACTTTTATTGCATGAAATTTTGAATGGCCTTGTGGACTACTCTGAAATATTAGCCAGAATACCATTTAATCGAGCACCTCGACAATTTGAAACCATAAACACCAAGAGCTATCGAAAATTCTCCGCCGCTTCGTTTATTCAGAGGGGAAAAATGCTCAGATTTGGATTTGTTCACCATCTCGCACTATGAATCCCCAAAGAAAATACTCAATTGTAATCTTTTATTACTTTTACTTTAGACTAGCTTAAGGGGAGGTTATGTAGGTTATTTCCTTCCCTCCATTTCGTTGATAACGAAGCTGAGCGTGTTGTATTGTAAATTAGTTAGATACTGTTTTAGGTTTATCCTGTATGCGTGCCAAAGAGCAAATAAATAAATAACCGTGAATACTAAAAAATATTCGCGTAGCATCTCCAACGTATATACGAAAACTCGCTAAACGTGAAAACACACATGCTAGAGTCTAGGCGCCCGCGGATCTAACCCTTTGTTTCAAAATTTATATCTAACAGTAGGATTCTTAATATAGAATCATCCGAGAGGAAGAATAAATAACCCGGACACTTAACGTTAGCGGTTTTAATGAAAATTGTTCTCATATTTCAAAACGATATGCCATAAATTTTAGTGTGTAATTAACTATCGTAGGTGATCGTAATTTAGGATTTCCGAGATAGAAACGTCCATGAAAACGCTCAATTTTCCAACAAAACCCACAAAAAAACAACGGGCGTGAAAACTAATATGGATAGATTTGGAAACGTATTATTTTATCAAATCAAATCAAATATGACTATCAATTGAGTAAGTATATATCTTCTGCTTCCCAATCTCCATAATTGTTCGTCTTTAACATCCTAAACTCTTTTCCTTTTCGGTGGTGAAATCCAAACCACAACTCCTCTCCTGTACTCTATTTTTCTACACCAAGAACTTTGGGATAAGGCCTGTTGAAGAGCCAAAATTTATTAAATTAGCTTTGAGCTTCTTTCCTGATATATTTGGTAAAGATAGCTAGACTTCAAGAAACTGTAGAGATTATTAAAAGAAAAACAACATTTAATATATAAATTATTGGCAGTCATAATAAGACTAAAAATTAAAATAGTAATTGACAAAGATAACTGACAGCCCTTGATTGAATATGACATATCATATATACTGCTCCAAAAATATATATTTTTGAAACATTTATACAAAACTATATGTTTTTAAAATGCTGGAGGCAAACTGAATAAGAATGAGTAAAACTATACCGGGTGTCCTACTAAAATATTTCAAGTAGGGTCCCATGACTTCTTAATCTGACCACGTATACTTGTTCCGAATTCTACGCCAAAAGTTATATACGGAAAAGTTTTTTTTTTCACTTAGTAGATTAGAAAGGTAATTGGCAAATGGCGCCCTCTGTTAAGAACAGTATACAACCACTTGCAACATTAAAGATGTTCACAGTAAAAACAGACATTCTATTATCAAATTGAACAATAAACCATTTTCAGTCTGGTCCTGTATCTCAAAAATGAACCGAGATAGCAAAATTTTGTCGACGGTATAACAACTTTCACGAACATGTAGCACGGTATTTCTAAAACCGCTTGTTAAAAACGATAAAGAAGTATTACATACTTATTTCTGATCTCATACCGATTACGAGAAAATAAAAACACAACTCGGAATAAAAAAAAGTTGCCAGGCGGTGCTGTCAGTTCGACAGTTGTCCTGAATCATTCACATCTGCATAGTGTTTAGTCTGTGGTTAAACACTTATATATTTAAGATGAGACAGAGCCCCAGACTAGGCCGCTCCTACACGAGACAAAAACGTCAGGCACACTTCAAACCTTTCCTGTAACAGCGTCACAAACAGTGCATGTGTTTACAAAAACAACGTATTAATATTAATAACTCTATAGGAGACGCTTCGGTACAAGAGAATTAATATCGAAGGACCTAGTGACAAAATACGGAAAAACAAAATGGGTGTTACTTATGGAAAAAGTCGGAGCCCCTTTAAATGGTTGATTGAAGTTTAGAACGCTAATTTTCGTTAAAATCCCGTTGAATGTTCTTATAATTATCTTTTTTTTATAAAAAGTTTGCTTCAATGAAAGCAAAAATTGAACTTTTGTACGTCAAGATGTCTGTCCATATTTCCTATCGTTTTTGATTGCAAAAACTCTTTTCTGAAGACATTTTCCTTATTATTTATTATTTAATTATGAATTAAAAATTCAGCTGTTGGCAGACGTTTATGCCATCTTTTTTTCTAAAACTCGAAGATTGTTGATCATTTTGAGAAAAATGACTTAGTTCGTTACTGTTTTCATCTTAGCCATAAATAACCAAATTATACTTTTTACTTTTTTTTTCCATTACTGGCAGCTACGTATTCAATATTTTATTCACCTCCTGTAAAACTAGACTTTTAGTTTTTCTTCAAAATTGATTTCATGCCCATGAGAAGATCACCTAATTAAAAAGAAATAAAGAAATCACGATCTTTTTGTATCAGTTGTATTGAAAAAAAAAAACACTTTCACATATTGATAAGCTCTTTAAATAGGTTCATCATAACTTAACAGTTGATGTCAATTGTGATTTCACATATTTTTCATATAATTTGTGAGCGACCTGGAAGTGCAAATACAAATATTCATTCAACCTTTGTGCCATCAGTAATTGGTAGGGCGTGTATGGTTGTACTTTTAAACTGGCAAATCATAAACACAGTTTAGATTGCGCCGCTCTATAGTTTTCAATAACTTAATGTAATACGGACAGACAGGTGAAACGATATTTTCACAAAACTCAGTTGCAAATAAGAAACTCTGAAAGATATATTTTCAAAACATTAACAGATGATCAAAATAAAAATTCTAGTTTGTGTTAATCTAATAACAACGAAATTTACGTCTTGTGTCATATTCCTGGACAGATGTTTTCTTGTTATTGAAAATAT